GGAAAGAGTACAAAACAAATCTAAAACAAGAAAATAAAATCTAACCATTTTTCTGCGTCTGCATTTTTCATATAAAGCTCTGATCTCTTCTTCATTGTCACTTTCCTCTGGAGCTTTCCCCAAGATCTCCTGCAGATGTGACAGTCTGCACCTCCTAATAACAGAATGCAAAATAAATATATAATAACAACAATCAAAATAGCTGCTCAAACAGAAAACCTTTTTTATCACTAAACTCAGTCACACTAAAAGGAATCTACATGTTTCTCTGAAAATGGGAAATGAAATGTTGAGAAATAAAACAATACCCCCCCCCCCCTCAAATAATTAAAAGAACTGAAAGCTACAAAATGGGGGATGGCAGACATGAGAATAAATAATGGAGAATCTACAAGGACTGTGTTGCACAGCTTTCTTAGACAAGCTGAGACAAAGCGAGGAGAGCAAGTCTGGTACTGGAAGTTCACATAAGCAGAGGCACATCAATGGGACAATGTAGAAATTGAACAATAATTATGGATGTATACTTATATATCTTGTTAATGCAAAAAGTACATACCTTTCTCCTATCTGTTCAGCAGTCATCTTTCGCAGCAGCTAACAATAAAAATACATCATACATCATTACACTTATAAAACTATATGAATAAATATCTAACACATGGTTTTATAATAACAGATAAATAAATATAAAGGGACATCCACCATTATCATTATACTGCACTGTACACTGTAGAACAAATTAAAAAACAAATGTATATAGTTAACTCATGGCACTTTACTGATAAAAAAAAGCATAGCTGATGAAAGGAACATAATTTTGACAATGGAAATCATTGTATTTTAAATGAGCAAAATTTTTCAAATAGCACACAAGAATATCTTAGTGCTGAACCAAACGACAGTCTGTTTGCATATGGGTCACACATAGTTTTTAAACATACAGGCTTTTCCTGTCAACTAATAAAAACCCACCACTGGATAACAATAGCTTTTTTTTTCCAACAGAATAACACTGACTTTTTGCCAGTTTACAGTCAGTGAACTTGAAGAGAAGGCGCGTGTAGAGCTGAATATTACTGGCAACAGGCAACTGTAAGTAACATGATCAGACATGTTTAACTCCAGTCTTTAGACTGACTAACCTGATTTGTTTTAACTTCTGTTGACTTCTACACGTTTCAACATCTACAAGGAGACTCTTCTTCTTCTTCTTTATTCACCAGCTATAAGCTCTGGCGAAAAGTCCTGGTTGTTCGTCTATTTAGACTCAGGCTTTGTGCCAGGGCCTGAGTTTTGCATGTACCTCTATTTTACTGGTTTATTTGTTGTTCTTTGCCGCTTGGGCAGATGCACTCTGACTTTAAAGGAACTCCCCCAAATTAGTCGTCCCTTACGATGTGCTTGTTGGGGAGGCAGTGGGTCTATTCTTGTTTTCCACCAAAACGGGGCCTCAGAACTCACCAAGGGCTATAAGGAGACAGCTAATACAGGCTTTTCTGAGGTCCCGGATGAAGTTTCTCCTCTTCATAGAACTTCTACTTCAACTTCACCGGCTGTAAACTCCGGCGGAAAGTTCTGGGTGTTTATCCATCTCCTGACGTTAGTATTGTTCCAGAACCTGAGTGTTGCGTGCATATCCGTTTCACAGAGCCAGCTTATTTGTATGCAGACTCCTGGTTTCTTTCCTCTCCGGGAGATGCACTCCGACTTGACAGAAAGTCCTGGATGTCAATCTGTATCTTAACTTTGGTCTTGTTCCAGAACTTGAATGGAACATACATTTTCAAGATCTGCTTGTGTACAAACTGGTGAACCGGTTCATGCAGATGTGGTCTGACTTCAGAGGAAACACTAATCCTATCTACAAAGGCCAGAACCTTCAGCAGAGCATCAAAAAATCAAACAACAGTTGTGATTCTCAGCTGCTCCAGATCTGGAAGTTGAATACCTGTTAGTAGTAGTTCCATGACTCCTACCGTGGCCAAGCCAACAATAGTTTTTTTTAATTATACTTTTCAACAGTTGCAGAGCGGCAGCTGGCTGAACGGTTACAACACTGGGCTCTCATGTAGGAGACCCAAGTTCAAACTCCCCATAAAGGGATAGAGTACTGTCTGGGGCAAAGATAAACATCCTAACATGCAGTCCGTGGTGACAGCACTAGCCACACAACCCTGAATCCTCAGGCTCAGAACCTACCAGGGTACACCGCCATTAAAATTGGTAAATGAAGACAGTAGTGCCAGTTTCTCAGTCGGGCTACACAGTCAAGTAAAAAAGTAAAAAGTATCAGTGATGCATCAGGCATATGATGCTAGACTCATGGACTATTTATAAATCCATCAGCCCTCGATGGGTAATGAGCTCAACACCGTGCCGGCCTCCTTTGCTTCCCTGGACTTTACCTGGTACCTATTTTAGTCAAATTCAACATGGGTTAATAGGTCATTTTTAAAACAAATTTAACTCGAGACCTTTAGGCCGGAGGAAGTACAACTAGCTACTATGCCACTGCAGCTCCCTATCTACAGGGTAGGTGATTTTTTAAAACAAAAAGGCTAGCTGGTATCCTTTACAGGACATTGCAGAACCAACCCCAGCATTTTTTGGCTGTTATGGTTTTTTCTAGTCAAATTTACAATAAGTAGTTTGCCATTGCTACTCAATGGTCGGTTCTCAGTACCACTGTCGAAACCAACACAAGGCAAATTGCCTGCAGTCGGGATGAAACCCAGCACAACAGCATTACGAAGCGCGTTGGCAACACCTAAGCCACATACGCCGATAATTGTAAAAAAGTAAAGGTAAATTACATATATCGTCAACATATCATCATCATCATGTAGCAGCTCCTTTGCAGAACGTCGCTCTCATCACAGTTTGCCTGACTGAAACGGTCTCTCGCCAGCTCTACCGCCCCATGCAGTTTCACACTCAAGGAGTCACCTATATCCGGTGTCCATCTTCGTGTTGGTCGGCCCCTGCCCCTCCTTCCTGGTACCATGCCTTCTGCTATAATTTTTTCCAATCCGTCATGGCACTTGATATGACGTCAACATAAACGATTTACAAAATTGCTAACCTGGCAGCTGCACTGACTGGGATGTTCAACGAACTGTGAGGCCTGACACACCAACTCTCTAAGCAGTGACCACAGTTCGCTAAATGAAGGAAGACTCAAATCACCACCAGACTGTGAGGTGGCGTGCTCCCACTGGATAGATAAACGTTAAATAGATCACAGATTAGTAGGTCAATGAAGTGCCTACAAAATTAAGTAAATCCACAATTATATAGTCACAAGGATTTAAACTACTGATGACTTAATTTTAAAAATAGGTCATTATTTGTGATTTTCTTTTCTTTCTGTTTCATTCTAGTGTTCTTTTTCTCAATTCCAGGAACATTTTCTATCAACTCAGGCAAGTGCCGCTGTCTCCAAGCAAGGAGCCTGTGTGTACCCGGGGTATGATGTTGATATGGTCATTTTTATGTTCAGGAGTAGCCACACATTGCAAGGAGTGATGTCAGGAGGGTGTGGAACCTGGCAAACCAGAGGAATTTTATATTTGCCAAAGACATTTTAATCCCAGAGCCAATAGGTATACTGTCAAAACAGAGCTATCAAATTCCCATTATTCATCAAGTCTGGCTGTTTATGTGGCACAGCATCAAGAAGATGACAGATTATCTCTAAACAGTTTTCATTGTTAATGTTTTAAAATTCTGGTTAACACTCAAATACAATCCTTTGAAATGGTTTTCAACTATAATCAACATGGTGTTGTGAACAGTGCGTGGCCTGTTGACCCATAACTTATGGTCTCATAGGAGATTAAAATTTATCGCGTGGGCAACTGGTGATCTGTGTGCAACTGCCAATCTGTTTTTAACTGCTGCTTCTGTCGATGATGAACTGCATTTCTCATGTCGGACTGTTTGTGTTAGCACTTCTGATGACTGCCTTATGATTTTAATGAATGTGTATGCTAGTGGATATGCTTAGACCGGAATCTGTGTCAATTTTTCCACAAGGGACAGTAACGAACATTCTGTCTGTTTTTCACTGGCACAGGATCAGAGCAACTATGAGGTGCTGTTTTTTGTGAAGCTGAAACTAAGATTACCAAGGTATAAAAGAATTCTCATAATATGGCCAAATTAAGAACAGACTTACAAATCGTGGGAACAATCCCTTGCCACAAATTCACTGAGATGAGAAAGGTCACATGATTCAGTCTTTGGTCATCTCCTCATAATGCAGCCACAACTACCAACACAGGCGTTAATCCTAAATAGATCTGTTGTGAAAGCAAAACAGCGTCCAAGAAGATTGAAAGACGTTTGACATCTACAAGGAAAGACAATAACCAGTTCTAAAGAATGTTGAATGTCGAATTAAGAATCGACATTCCAGTACTCGGGACACTCCCATAAGCTCTCCGTCCCCATCTTCAGCAGCAGGCGAAGAGTTCAAATTCCGATTGTACCAGTAACAGTCTGATTGTATATCCGTCTCGCCCCTCCCCTGAGTGTCGAATGTCGGCCAGATTCCCTTGTAACTCCTCGCAGTGCCATTCTCCTCAGACCATTATGATCTGTTCCTCGGCACTGTTCACTCGCTCCCAAAGGGCCCTCACAACATTCAGCTTGTCATACATCAGTTCACCACCAAGTGGTGCAGAACTAGCCAGTCTATCCGCCTGCTCATTTCCCAACACACCGGCGTTACCTGGAGAAAATATCCAAAGGATGCTTACAACCCGGGACCTCTGAAGTGATGCTTGCCTCTCTGCACGGAGCATGCCTGTCTCCACCTTTCTCAGCATGCTCTGTGAGTCAGTTACAATGACGACATGTGTGCACAGCTGATTGTCAAGCCAACGGAAGGCAGCAGTGACTAACCAGTTCTACCCATCGAATAATAGACTGCAAACTGCCCCTCCCCCACCAACAACACTGAATCACAAAAGTGGAAATTGAGGATGATTACTCACCAAAGAATTGATTTGAATCAAACACTTGTCATAAATAGCTCTGAATTTGAACGATGGCACATATTGAATGATATTCTCAACTGCTTTTCCCAAGGTCTGGATGTCATGGCAGACGTCTACAAGTGTATCCTGGCTCAGATCATCTAAACTCCCTTCCTCCCTGAGCTGCTCTAACTGAACTACACAGTTGCTAATCAGTAAAAGTTCAGCTCTGAGCTTATTTGCAGAACTTGGTTGCACTGACAGCGTTACTAGTGCTGGAAAACAGAACATGAGGAAAACATTATTAGCAGTTACAACGTAACGAATAGATTCAAGATCATACATATTTTCCCCCGTGTGGGTTCCGGGGCCCTATTATAGGGAAAACAAGAATAGACCCACTACCTACCCAAAAGCATGTCGTAAGAGTCGACTGATTGGGAGCTTCCTTCGAAGTCTAGTGCATCTGCCTGAGAGGCAAGGAACCAACAGTCTGCATACAAATTAGTTAGATCTGTCAAACGGATGCACATGCAACACTCAGGTTCCGCAACAGGGCTGCAGCCCAGAAGTGGACGAACAGCTAGAACTTTCCGCCAGAGTTTAAAGCTGATGAACGCGAAGAAGAAGCAGATACATATTTTGAGGTTAAACGTACACACTGGCAGGTTGGCAGCCTGCTCAATGGCAAGTGAATAAACAGACATGTTAAAAATGGTAATTAACTTTTAAAACTTGAAAATATAACAAAAGAGTTTAAATGGTATGCAACCACAATTAAAATATTTTAGTAAAAAAAAGTTTTAATTAAAAAAAAATGTCTTTAGAATACTTTTTTTTTTTTTTTTCATTTTCCTACCAGTGGTTTTCAGATGAGAAGCTTTTATAATAAGCTGTGGTGTGTGTGATGCATGTTCTTCAGTGATCCATGCAGTTTGGTTTCCAGTGCAATGCTAAATGGCCATTTACTGGATCTCTCTACTGCACATAGACAGCACAACTGCAGCTCTTGTTTGGTTTTATGTGTGCCTCTCCCCTTGGACAAATCTTGACCAGCTTGTACATATGGCTGTGGAGCCTGTTGTGTCCAGTTCACAATCCAAATTACAATGTCCTGTTGCATTTGTGTTAGGAAGTTGATTAAGCCTTCAGAACTGTGCTAGATTCAAAGTGTTCCAATAGGTTCTTCTTCTTCGTTCACCGGCTGTGAATTCCGGCGGAAGGTCAGGTTAATCGTCCATTTGAACTTTTGGCTTTTACCTGGACCTGAGTTTTGCGTGTACAACCGTTTTACTGGCTTTTGCCATTCCCTGCCTCACGGGCAGATGTACTCCGACTTCGAGGGAGGACATTAGGCCTTCTTCTTCTTCTTCTTCGCGTTCACCAGCTGTACACTCTGGCATAAAGTTCTGGTTGTTTGTCCACTTCTGGACTGCAGTCCTGCTCCAGAACCTGAGTGTTGCGTGTGCATCAGTTTTACAGATCTGATTCAATTGAATCCAGACTGCTGGTTCCTTGCCTCTCAGGCAGATGCACCCCGACTTCAAAGGAAGCTCCCCAATTAGTAGGCTCTTACGACATGCTTTTGAGAAGGCAGTGGGTCTATTCTTGTTTTACCCTACAATGGGGCCCCGGAACCCACATGGGGTCCTGGAACCCACAATAGGGCCCTGGAACCCACACGGGGTCCTGGAACCCACAATAGGGCACCGGAACCCACACGGGGGACATTAGGCCTATTTCTATGATGACTGTGGTCAATGTTTTGTGTGGGTCAAGATGTTACCTTATTTGTGTGGTGTCCTCTTTGTCCCTTTCTCCACAGGTGTTGCCCCCGGAGTACGCCCCTTGGGGCAGCCCTGTGTGGAACGGTTTGCCCTCAAGGGAAAGCAGGGGCAGATCATGGTCATTCCCCGCCATCCAAGGAGGCTTCCATAAATGCAGAGCCGATACATAATGCTCTGGTTCTGGGCTCACCCAAGGAATCGTCACATCCTGCACATAACTGCTTAACCTCACAACCGTATTAGGCTTCCCGCTCACACGGGCTGTGCCCTCCGGAGATCAACGGGGAGCAGCCCGTGGGTTCTGGACTTTTGTGACCACACGAATAGGTACAATCTTTTTCTTCGTACGATTGTTATCTTTAGCGTACTGTTAGCGCAACAGAATGGAGAATCCTGCGTCAGGCATTTCTTTATCTGTTTGGTCCCAACACTCGGGTGAGTGGGGTCTCGGGATGTGGACATTTGGACTTTTCGGATTTTGAGCTTGCTCTTGTGCAGTAGAATCTATTTTTGTCGGACATTTGGGCTTAACCAGCAGATGGATGATTGCTGTCTTGGTGTACCTCAGCGCGATGGCGACGACACTGAGGGTCGACAGAGGGTGTATGTAGAATTTTGCTGCGATACGCCACTCACAGGAGATGTTACTCGTCTGTGCTGCGGGTAAATCTCTAGGTCAAGGGTTGAGTCTCAGCAACACAATGTTCTCTTCGCCCCATGAACTTTTAACCAAGGGTTGTCATTTTATTTGTACGTTTGGCAAGCACTTTACTCATGTTCCCAATGAGTTTCGATAAGCTTTTTCACCCATGTGTTTGGGGAGGGGGGAGGCTGATGAGAGCCACAAGGACACTGCACCTCTGGTGCCCGCTAACTCCGAGATCCCCTGACAACTCTGTTAATGCTCATTTGAGGCATTATCCGTGGCACGCAACGAGGACGTGCTGCAGGAGTCTTGAGTGAGGTTCCGTAAAACCAGAACAGTGCAGGACTGACGCCCAAGTGACGTATGGAGTAACTCCTTTTACAAATCACTTTGGGCCTAACTTTACCTCATGCCTGTGACAGAAATCACCGCGCCACTTCCAATAGGTTCTAATGGCTGCCTTGATCTGGGTTCTTTTTTCCTCATATGCATCTTGCTGTTCTGTATCGACCTTATATTTAAAAATATAATTTAACTCCCAGAAGACGGTTCGCCGGTCAACTGGCTTATGAAGTTATTCCTATCGGACGGTCGCCAGTATACTGGCGTTATCATAGAGACACTCTAATTTTGTTCTGTTAGTGGGGAAAACAAACTTGTATGAACAAGTTTTTGATAAATTAGGATTAACAACAGGATGTCCTTTCGTTTGCGATGTCCCACATGGCTTTATAATTGTAAACAAAATTATTTATTTGCGATACAATTTTTAAAATGTTTTTTCTATACTAAATGATAAGGGAAAAGGTCTAGAACTGTTCATACTGTTCTGTCGTTGATAAATCTCTGCCAGATGGTGACAAAAGTCTTGTTTTATGATTGATATCTAAGTGACAAACCTATTGGCAATATTTAGTTTAGGATACGAAAACTGAACAAAATACTTCACTAGGATCATCTGTTTCGATCAGCTGTTTTCCTGATTTTCTGTGAAATCTAACATGTCATACCAAAATGATCACAACATCCAAAGTATTTAAATTAACTGTTTCAAATAAAGACCAACTGATACATAATTGAACGAAGAAGGCATGGGAATATTTAAAATTAGATAGCAGTGTTGCTGAACATGTAAAAAAACAAGGTAAGCACATTATATTTTATGTAAATGTAAATAATCTTCATATGTGTCTAACATCCTTGAAAGTTGTGCAATTTTAATAATATTTTGTTGTAATACTGACACTTAAATAGTTTAGATTTATTCTGCACTTATTTATCTTCAATTTGATATTTTATGTTCCGAAACAGCCAATCCTTGTTTGTTTTTTCAGGAAGGTTTTAGCTTTGTCGTGTAGCAGTTTAAAAAAATCCACTTAAAATTAATGCTGATCAAACCCCAAAAGAAAATGTGGTCATGAAAGAGTTGAGACAATTTTATTAATGGATCTGAACTATCTGGTTTAACTCTTTGAGGCTTAAACAACAGTGTGAGAGTAGTTCGAGAGGGTTCCGTTTTGCCCAAACAACAGTGTCATCGTCAATCGTGTGTCCATTACATTTTGCTTCGCACGCGGTTTCGTACTAGTTTCTAATGTTTGGAGGTACGATTAAACTATTCAGGGAAAGTCACTCTGTCAAAATCCTTTTAGTTTCATTTCCTAGACTAAACCACACATGGATAATTTGAGAGAAAACAAAGCTAAATTTTTTTTCAGCAGTTCATTTTCTAAGTTTGTTTTTGAGTGCCAAGAATACCAATGTTCTAACTACAAGTACAGGTCGCAGAGCGCGTCTTTCTGTGGCCGAAGCTCTGAAATTGTTTCAGTCAGATGTTCTTAATTGTGATAATGATAATAAAAATATAGATTTTTCTGAAAGTGATTCGGATGGTGAATTTTCACCAGTGAAGCTGAGCGATCAGCTGTTCGGAATCTAGCGATTCTGATTAGTTTATTACACAAACAATGTCCCATACTACCGTATTTATGGTGTAAGAGAAGGAAAGTGCTCTAAACAAATAGATTGTACTATACTATTGCTAAGCTACACTAAAATCATCGCAGCTACAGTCTGTAAATAACTGTACAAAGTAAATAGTAAATAGTGTGTGTGTAATGGCTTACTTTTCTGCCATTTTTTCTCTGAAATTTTGCTCAGCACTCTGTGAGAACTAAGAGCTCCTGAGTGCTAAACTTACTCAGAAAGTTATAACGTTGAAATATGTTAGGAAATTGAACAAACTTTGAAGTTTTGTTCTCAGATTTGGATTTTTACTACTCTTGTGGCTGCAAAACCATGGTAAGTGAAGAATTTTGTGTTAAATGTTGTCCTTGTGAAATTAACACCTGCTGAATCTTTCTTTCCCACTAACTATAACAAAATTAAACAAACACTTATCATCAGATTCAAAATGTACATTCATTTCTCTTTTAAAAAATATATACTTTTATAGGGATTAGAAGTATATTACAATCTCTATAGCCGGCACTCTTCCGAATACCGGTCCCAAATTATTTACCGTTAAAAAATCCTATTCAGGGCCTCAAGAGGTCATTATTTAACCCGTAACAGGGCGGTTGGCACGTTGTGTTGTGGTTTACAGCTAGGCTGCGAATTATGCGCCTTTCGCTTGTTCTTGTGGTTCACAGTTAGGCTGCGATAGCGGCGGCGAGATGCTCAATAATAATGTCACGGGTAGGTAAACTTCTTTCTTTTCGTTCGCCCTTGAAAGAATGGTTCTCAGGTTGTGTTGTGGTTTACAGCTAGGCTGCGATATCTGCGCCCTTTGCCCCAAAGCATCCGATTTCAGCAGTCCTAATTAGTCGTCTTTTACAACTTT